TGAAATAAAAAATAAAAAATGCTTAGTCTCACTAATCATCAGGGAAATGCAAATTAAAACCACAATGACATACCACTTTATCCAGTCAAAATGGCCATTATTAAAAAGTCAAAAAACAATAGATGTTGACATTGGATGTGGTAAAAAGGGAACACTTAAATGTTACTGGTGGGAATGTAAATTAGCATAACTTCTATGGAAAACAATATAGAAATTTCTGAAAGAACTAAAAGTAGATCTACCATTTGATCCAGCAAACCCACTACTTGGATTAAAGTATGACAAAAACTGGTAATCAAAGTAAGAATATCAATAAACAGATTAAAATTATTAAAAGGAGCAAAACAGAAATTCTGGTGTTGAAAAGCACAATAACTGAAATAAAAACATTCACTAGAGGGCCTCAACAGCAGATTTGAAGGAAAAGAAAGAGACAGTAAACTTGATGAAATTTTGAGGAATTATCAGGTCTGAGGGATAGAAAGAAAAGAAAGAAAAACGTACAACCACATGTACTCAACAGCAAATTGGCATTAACAGATCAACACTTAAGTGGACATATAGGAATAACATTTATTCAGTGTCGGGCAGGTGGGAGGGAGGAGGGGGGCCATGGGCAATATATGTAACCTTAACATTTGTACCCCCATAATATGCTGGGAAAAAAAAGGAAAAACATACAAATCCTCAGAGACTTGAGGGACCTCATCCAGCATACCGACACATGTGTAATGGAAGTGCCAGAGTGTGGGGGAAGAAGGGAACACAGAGGGGAGGCAGGAGTGGGAGGAAGAGATGTTTGAATAAATAATGGTCAAAACTTCTAAAATCTGAAGCTCAATGAACTCCAAACAGGCTAAACTCAAATAGATCCATATCTAGATCATAATCAAACTCTCAAAAGCTAAAGACAAAGAGAATCTTGAAAGGCACAAAAGAGAAGCAAATCATAATTTATGAGGGATCCTCAGTAAGATTAACAGCTGATTTCTAATCAGAAATGATGGAGGCCAGCAGGTAGCGTGATCATGTAATCAAAGAGGCAAAAGAAAAATTCTACCTAGAATTATATATCTGGCAAAAACTATTCTTCAAAATGAAGAAGAAATTAAGACTTTCCTAGAAAAACAAAAAATGAGAGTCCATCACTAGCATACCTTTCCTACAACAAATGCTAAATGGAGTCCTTCAGAATTAAATGAATAAAATTAGACAGTAACTCAACTCCATATGAAAAAATAAATACCATGAAAGATATCTACATAGGCAAATATAAAGGACAGTATATAGGTATTTTTTGTTTGTAAGTCCTTTTTGTTCTTTATCTCAATTAAAACACAATTGTATAAAGCAAAAATTATAAATCCAGGTTGATGAGCACATAATATATAAAGATTTAATCTGTGACAATAATAAATAATAGTAACAAAAAGCATTGGGGGCTGGTAAAACAGAGCTATATAGGGGTAAAATTTTTGTACACTACTAAAACTAAATTTGCATTAATCCTAACTAGATTGCTATAAATTAAGATGTTATATGTCCATATAGACTTATGAGAATGTTCATAACACCTTTATTTATTATAGCCAAAAAGCTGAATCAAACTGTATGTCCATTAGATGAATAAATAGTATGTAATATATCCATACAATGGAATATTATTCAGCCACAAAAAGAAATGAAGTGCTGTTACATGCTATAATATGAAAGAGCCTTGAAGACATCATGCCAAATTAAGGAACCCAAATATAAAAGGCCATGTATTGTACGAAATGTGGCCAAATTTTGAAATGTTCATAATAGGCAAATCCATAGACAGAAAGTAGGTTAGTGGTTGCCAGTGGAGGGGACAGCAAAGAATTGGAATTAAGTGCTAATGGGTACAGGGTCTTTTATGGTGGGGTGTGATGAAAATGTTCTTGAATTAGATAGTGGTAATGGTCACACAACATAGTGAAAAGACGAAAAACCAATGAAGTATGAACTTTCAAATGGTGAATTTATGTTCTATGGAGTATATTTCAATAAAAACACTAGAAGCTATAGCATCACATATTTAATAGTGAAATGATAAAAGTTTGATTTCAATGATGAAATAATTTTCATGCTGAATGTTTTCTTTGAGATTAGGAATGAAACAAGGATATTTGTTATCACTACTTCTACAGTGTACTGGAGATTTGAAGCAGTACAAACAAGAAAAAAATGAATAATATACACAGAAATCATTAAACTTAAAAATAAATTTAGCAAGGTTGCTGGATACAAGATTATTAAACAAAAATCAAGCATAGTTCTATATACTAATTAGAAAGTATACTTTCTATAGTATACTAATATACTAATTAGAAAGTGAAATTTAAGAGACAATACCACTTATACTATCAAGTACGCATGAATAAATCTAAGAAATATGCAACATGTACACACAAAAAGCTGCAACACATTATAGAAAGACACTTTAAAAGATCTAAATGAATGGGTTTGTTCATGGGTTGTAGAGTCAACACTATTTGCATGTCAATTCCTCCATAATGGACCTATATATTCATTATTATTATTACAATCAAATATCTTAGATGAGTAACTTGTGGAAAACAAAAAGCTACTTTTAAAATTTATATGAAAATATAAAGTGGCAATCTTAAAGAAGGAGAACAAAGTTGGAAAATAACTATACCAAGTATCTATTATAAAGCTAAAGTAATTATGACAGTGTGAGACTGGCATAAGGATGAACAAGTAGATAAACTGCATAAAGTAGAACATCTGGAAACAAACTCATACTGTTAAGGCAACTGGCTTATGATTAAGATGGCATTTATAGAGCTGTAGTCTTTTTATTAATGGGTACAGGGCCAATGGGTTTGCAGACTTTTGAAAAAAAATTAATCCTGATCACTACTTAATACCAAACACAAAAATGAATTCCAGGGGATGTGTAATGTAAATGTTCCCTTTAAGTAGAATATTAAAGCTCTTAGAAGGATTTGAAAATATCTTCATGATTTTAAGGTAGAAAAATATTCCTTAGACAGAACACAAAAAACACCAGATAAGGAAAAGGTAAAGATTGATGATTTATAATTAGTAACTTCTGGTCATCAAAGACACCCATGAAGAGAGTAAAAAGGCAAGCCAGAATGGGAGGAAATACATACAAAAGACTCATTTCTGAAATACATAAAGAACTCTTTATAAACCAGCATCAAAAAAAAACAAACAAACAAACAGATAATACAATTTTTAAGAAGACTTGGAAAAGCATTTCACATAGGAAGATATCAATGTCCAATAAACATAAGAAAAAGTGATCAATTTTATTCATTGAAGGGTATGCAAATTAAGCCATAATTAGATATCACTACATACCTAACAAAATGGTTAAAATATAAAAAACTTGACCAAATGTTGGCAAGAATGTAGAGTAACTGGAATTTTCATATCCTGTTGCTCAAGTATAAAATGATAAACATTTGAACTTGAAAATGAAAATGTTTTATGAAATTGAAATGAAAATGAAATTGAAATTGAAAATGGTTTAGAAGTATAGTTGACCCTTAAGCAATGGTTTAGAAGTACAGTGGGGGGCACCAACCCTCCATGCAGACAAAAATCCACGTGTAACTTTTGACTCCCCCCGGAACTCAGCTTCTAATAGCTTAATGTTGACAGGAAGCCTTACTGATAGCATAAACCGTCGACTAACACATTTTGTGTATGTATTATACGCACACTATATTCTTACAATAAAGTAAACTAGAGAAAAGAAAATGATAAGGAAGAGAAAATACATTCACAATACTGTACTGTATTTGCATAGTGTGGTAAGATGAACCGTCTGTCTGTAATGGTGGGCAACCGCAGCTGTAGACTTCTATCTACCGTGCATATCAAGCAATTCAACTTTTTCTTGTAATGTCATAGAATTTCCTCTGCTTCTTGGGAGCACTTATAGTATCTCTAGTAGCACTCTGTACAGCTCCCGTGGTGTTGTTCAAGGTTTATGCTATTGCACTACACATGAAGAAAAATACACGAGAACTGCGAGAGATCATATTTTACCGTGATGCGCAACGTACTGGAGAGACAAACTACTGACTCGCATATGATTATCTTCACATAGTATTTTCACTTGAGCTCACTACAACAGCAACAGGAGATGGCACGAATTATTATAGCAGTATAGTGTGCGTTATGGTTAATTTTGTGGAGTCATGATTTGATACTACATCTTTACATTTCTCTCGACTGTGAATGGCACTATTATGGTAAGAGTTCATATGTACCAGTTTTGATAAATTTTAGCTTTCAATAACAGATTCATATTTTTGGGGGTAGTAAATGATAAAACAGACTAGTATCTACATATATTTTATGCATTTATGAAATACCTTTTTCTTAATTTTTTGATATTTCTAGGCTTATGTAGTTTGTGAGTTTTTTCAAATTATACAGATCTCCAACAATTCTTCTGATGTATTTGTTGAAAAAAGCACATACATAAGTGGACCTGTGAAGCTCAAACCTATGTTGTTCATGGGTCAACTCTATTTACTGAAGTTGAGCTATGACCCTGCAAAGCAATAGGCTGTTTCGCTTTCACATCATTCATGTGTTCACTGGAGTAGCACCTTTTTAATTTCCTTCCAGATCGTTTCCCCTGCATTTGCAACTTGGCTGTTTGGCATAAGAGGCCTCGCTTTCACCCTATCGCAGCTTTCAACATGCCTTCTGCACTAAGTTTAATCATTAAGTTTGAAATCTTGTGATAATTATCGAAATGCTACATAGAGACACAAAGTGTGCACATGCCATTGAAAAATGGTGCCCAAAGACTTATTCAAAGCCAGAGTTGCCACAAAACTTCAATTTGTAAAAAACACAATATTTGAAAAATGCGATGAAGCAAAGCACAATAAAGCAAGGTATGCCTGTATTTTATGTACTTTTATGTATGTGTTTTACTCAAAACAACTTTTAAAAAGTTTATTTACCTGTTTTTTCTGTGTTCTGTTCCTATTTTCCAGCCAATCATCCATTTGTTCCTCAATTTCTTCTATGGAAGTCCCATGATCGTAAGAGTGAATATATGTACTTTCTAAAGGTGTGTATACAGGAAATTCAGGTTTTGGTTTTTTAACTTTCTTCTGTTCTAAAAAACGTTTAAAAGAACCAGTTATTGAGATTTGTTAAGAATAAAAAGAAGTTAGAAATTTATTTTATTTATAGAACATATCTTGAAAGAACACATACGTTTTTCTTTTGTTTAATTGTGCAAGGTACTTTACATGTATCAACTCTAATTTTATTAACAAATTTGTCAGGCGGGTATTATCACCCTACATATTACATATCCATTCAATCACCAAATATTTGAATGTCTAATGCAGGTCAAGCATTCTTTTAGCTACTGAGGTTCAGCTATGAAAGAATAAAATGAAGTCCCTATTCGCATGAAGAATAAGGAAGGATAAGACTGGTAAAAGGAAATAGAGTAACTGTATATGGAAAAAGAATGAGGGAACTTTTCTCTTCTATGTATTTATATACGATGATTAGGGAAGGCCTTTCTGATAAGAAAGATAACATTTGGGCAGAGAACAGATGGAAGTGAAGAAGCAATTCAGTGGTTCTCAGGGGTGGAGGAGCAGTATAGGTGGCATATGGTGCAAAAAGTATAAGGTCCCTGAGATGGGAGTTTGCTTAGTGAGTTAAAGCAACACAGAGAGACCAGTCTGGCTGCAGTGGGGGGCTGGGTTGGGGAGAAGCAGAGTGGTGGGTGTCGAGATCAGCAGTGGCTACAGCAAGGGCTTTGGATTTGACATTTAATCCTACTTTTATCACATAATAGTTATATAATATTAGACAAGTAACTTAACACTTAGAACAGTGTACATTTTCTCATCTGCAAAAAAAAAAAAATTAGCCCTCAATAAACAGTATTATCTTTACCACCTTGTGTATATGTATATATTTGCATATACTATAATGCCAATGTAATAAAAATCAATATGGTATTGGCATAAGAATAGACAAATTCCTAGAAGAGAACAGAGAATTCATACATACAGATGCATATCCACTTACAATGGGGTTATGTCCTGATAAACCCATCATAAGTTGATAATATTGTCAAGTTGAAAATGCATTTCATATACCTAACCTACTGAATATCGTAGCTTAGCCTAGCCTACCTTAGACGTGATCAGAATGCTTACATTAGCCTACAGTTGGGCAAAATCCTCTAGTAACACAGTACACCGTAGAGTATTAGCTGCTTATCCTCGTGATCATGTGGCTTACTGGGAGCTGCAGAGTGCTGGTGCTGCCCAGCACAGCAAGAGAGCATCTTACCACGTATCACTAGCCTGGGCAAAGACTCAAAATTCAAAGCACAGTATTGCTATATTTCTATATTTCAATTCAATGGGAAAAGTATTTAATAAATGATGTTGGCACCACTGAATATCCATTTGAAAGGAAAGTGGACACAATCTTATACTATATACAAAAATAAATTCCAGCTAGATAAGAAAGTTAATTTTAAAAGCCAAAACAAAAATCTTACAAAAGAAATCTAAAAAACTACATGAACTATTTAAATGAAGAGAAAATAGTAACTAAGACTGAAACCCAGATGCTACGATAAAAGATAAATCAAGAGACAAATAATAGATTTGGAAAGACTATCTTTAATTCAGAGGTCAAACAGAAGATTGATATAAAGAGATTTTATAGATTAATAAAAAGATAAGCAACTAATAGAAAAAAAGTAGGCAAAGGTCATGAATAGGCAATCCACAAATGAACAAATCCACATGACCAAGAAACAAGAAGAGATACTCATACTCTGTAAAGGTTAAAGGAATGCAAATTCAAGTAATACCAGTATATGATTATATACCTACCATATGGGTCAAAATTTAAAAATCTAATAAGATGTACTGTTGGCAGGCAAAGGGCTATCTCTAAATTGGTTAGAAAATTAGAATTATTCTATTACGGCCTTTCTGAAAAACAGTCTAAGAACATCTATTAAAATTAAAATATATAACCTTTTCCCCAGCAATTTCCCCAGAAATAAAAGCATTCGAATGTAACTGTATGTGTATATGTATGTTTGTGTGTATATGACTATTTACTATTTCTTCACAGAGATACAAAACCATTTACATAGTGAATGCTAATTAATAGGAGAAATGCCTGAATAATTATTAATGATGCATTCACATTGAGAAATATTAAGTTGCCACTGAAATAGAGCTATAGCAACAGAGATTTCCATGAGTTTGAGTGACAAAAGATGCAGAAAAGCATATACATTCCATATTTGTAAAACAAAATAGTGCCCTTCTAAATCCCTATATATGCATGTGTGTACAGTCATGTAAATATATTTGAATATGATTATACAAGCATGGAGAAAAATATAGATGAAGGAGAGAGGGAGTGTAGAGATAAATGAAGGAAAAGAGAAAGAATATCATAGTAAAAAATAAATAATATATATGTATATATTTTTTACCAATGGGTATAAATATAAAAATAAAATTTAAAAAGACTACACAGCATAAATCTGAAAAATCCAGATTTCTAAAACCAACACACCAATAGTTTAGTAAATATTCATTAAATTCTTTGCTACTTTAATAATACAGGACTAAGGTTGTAGCATTTGCATTTGGCAAAATCTTACATATATATTTAAAAAAACAGGTGTTTTCAAAACTAAATGCATTTTAGAAAACACAAATAAATGAACTACAGACTTCTATTTGCTAATCACTCTCATATTTCCTCCAATTCTCTATTATAGCTTCAATAAAACCTATATAATTAGTATAGACCCAGGCAAGATTAATTTTGGAGGTAACAAACACATCATTATTTATACTTCATGCAAGAAAAATAAATCTAAGACATTTTTAGCATCATGATAAAACTTATAGGGAAAGTTCTGAATTTAATAAAAAATACAGAGTTTCTTGATGCTGGGGAACCAAGTCTTGTAAATTTCATATAAGTTTCATAAATTATGGGCTTTAGGTTCAGATAGATTGGTTCCTAATGATAATGAAGCCTGATAAAAGCAAAAAACAAAAACTAACCAACCAACTAACTCCCCCACAAAACAACAAAACTAAAAATAAATGAACCAAAAAAGCAAAAGCAAAACTTATGATTCGTTAAGTGTCTAGTAAATGAAGAGAAATGGTTTCCTCTCAAAAGAAAAATTTATTTAGTAAGATTGTCAAAGGAATGATAAATGAGCCAAATATCATCTTAAGAATGTCTTTCAGCTTTAATGCCCCTTCTAAACAAAACTGCAAGGAGTTTGGGCCTCGGGAAAAAAAGAAACATTCTGGTATAAGGAGCCTATCTTCTCATATACTTGGAAACTTATGCTAAACAACTTAAACTTATGAATCTGTTACTTTGGTCAAATACTTTCTGACTAGTGCAAAAGTACTATGCCAAGACGTAGTTGCCAAATTGCTTTGGGCTCTTTGGCCATGAACCTGGGCTATTTAGGTCTTGATTAACATATGTACCTTAATGGTGTTCTGCAGAATGGGTTTAAATTGAGCAAGGTCACAAAATCTTAAATGTATTATCTTTCTCTAGCAGGCACAGGGAATTTCTCTTTGGAAAATGTTCAGACGTTAGTGCAGCAGACATTAATAAAACATAAATTGGAAGAGGAAAAGGAAGCTTTAATCAGTTTTAAGCACTATATATTAAATACTGAACTGAAAAATTATTATATCTGAAAAGTTACCAGGATAGCAAGGAGAACTGTAATCAGGTCATAACATAAAAGGTGGTAGAATAAAAGAGAAAATAAGAAATCAAAAAAAAAAAATTAGCTTCTACTTCTTTAGCCATTTACTAATACAATACATTAACCTCCTTTACATTACTTTAACATTACTCTCTAAGCTACCATGTATAAAATGAAAGACTCTTTCTAGGCCCCAAGTTCATAGGAATGTGCTTGAAATCCTAAAGACGCACAGAGCTATGTCAGAACTAAGCTCCTAATAAAAACCGCCTTCATCTCCACCTGCTTCTCCCAATTCTGTCCTATTCCTTTGAAGTACTGAGGTCCAAAACTTTGGAGTCGTCAATTTCCTCTTTTCTCATATCCTGTACAAAATCTAGTAGGAAATCTTACAGTCTTCAAACTCAAAACACATTCTGAATCCCATTCCGAATCCCTACCTCCAGTGTTACCACCCTGATTCAGGCCATCAGCACTTCTCGACCAGTAGGAACTGCAGAACTCAAGGAATGTCAGGGGGTCAGTCCTCTGGGTTCTTGTTGGGCCTCATATATATCCTAGACGTCCTGGTTCTAGAGAAACTAGCAACCCAGACACATACACACAAAACAATGAATAATGGAAGCCTGCTCTCTCTAGCCAAAGGACCAAGAAAGGGGAGTACAACAAGACAAAACTTTTAGATAAATAACCACTCTACCTACTTCAGGCAAACAAGACAGCAAAAAACTGTAGCCACCACGTGTCCCACCCATCCCCCCCACCTCCCCACCCCCCATACCCACCTGCCAATGCCAACAAAGGCTAATGAGGAGCCTAATCTTTTGCCATTGTCAGCCTGTGACAAGACACCCCACCTCCCCACCAGGGTGATATGAGAGAGAAGGCTGAGAGGTTAACAAGGATCCTCCTCCCCCTTGTGGAGTCAGTGGAGACCACACGGGTAGCGTGGGCTTCCACATCCACGCAGCAGAAAAAGGTGTCTCTGCCCCTCTCTGACAGGGTGGTTTCAGAGAAGCCCAGTGGAGAATCAGGGCTTTCAGAATCGCCCGGTGTTAACGAGGCCATCTCCCTGTAATGTCAGCAGAGGCCAAGCAGGAAGGAGGCATTCCTGCCCCTCCTCCCTGCCAGGGCGTTATCAATGGTGGCCTAGTCACAAGCAGGATGACCCTACTCACATGAGGATCCACAACCTCCCTGCCCCTCAGCTGTAAAACTGAACACACTGGAAACATGGACTTCTATTCCCACTTGGCAGTAACAGGGCAGCAACCTCCCCACCTCCACTGGTATTACAGAATGTTGTCAGAGAAGACCAGGTAAACAGAAAATTTAAATAAGATCCAAAGTTGCATACAAAATACCCCAAA